CACCCCCTCATCCTGCACCAACAGCCCCTGCACCCCCTTCCCGGCCATCCCGCCTTTCCCAGACCCCAGACCCGCCCTTTTCCTTGGCTTTCAGAGCCCCCAGATCTCACAAATTTCCGAGTCTCCCCAGTTCTCTATTCCAGGTGCTTCCTCAGAGGGGGTTCCAGGGGGCCCCAAGGGTCCCAGGGTGTCTCAGGGGGGTCGCAGCAGGGATCCAGTGGGACCCACATGAATTCCCCGCATTCCCTCAGTCACTTCTGCTTTCCCATCTCTCAAACTGCGCCCCTGGGATCCGCCCGCCCCTCCCAGCCCACAGACCCGGCTTTGCTGTGACCCCGGGACCCCCTGCACCCCCACTCCCGCCTCTCCCAGCTCCCAGACCCCATTTCCCTCAGCACCAGGGACCCCTGGATTCCCCTTTCCTGGGGGACAGGGATCCCCTGGATCCCCCATCCCGCCTCTCCCAGTCCCTTCCTTGAACCTTGGACCCATCCCGCCTCTCCCAGCTCTGCTTCCTGACCTTTGGATGATGCCAGATCCCCCAATCTCTGTCCACCCGGTTCCTCACCCCCTGTGCTTCCTGTGTGGGTTCCTGGGGGATCCAGGAGGGTCCCTGGGTGGGTGGAATGGGATTCCAGCGGAGATCCAGGGGAATCCCCAGGAAGTTCCCCCCTGAACTTCCATTCCGAGGCACTGGGACCCCCCTGCACTCCCTTATCCAGCCCCAATCCCCCCCTGCACCCCCTTTCCCAGCCATCCCGCTCTCCCCAATCTCTCTTTTTTCTTGACCCTGAGACCCCCTGGACCCCCATTCCTGCTTTTCCCAGCCCCCAGTCCCCTCTTTGCATCCACACATCCAGGACCCCCTTTCCCGGCTATCCCAGCTCTCCCCACCCTGTGACCCCTCTTTCCTTGACACTGGGGACCCCCTTTTCTTGGTACAGGGACCCTTTGGGTTCCTTGATCCCATCCCTGCACCCCTCTCCTTGGCCCTGGCATTCCCAAATCCCTTCCCAGCTCTGCCATTCCCCCATTCACTGATCCATGATCCCACCCAGACCCCCCAAATCTCTGTGTCCCCCCAGTTCTCCACTCCCTGCGTTACCGGAGTGTGGCGGTGTCGGAGCCCGGCCCGGGGGTCCCCCAGTTCATGGAAATGGGGTACCTGGATGGGATCCCCTTCGTGCGCTACGACAGCGAGCGGGGCCGGACGGAGCCACTGACGCCGTGGATGAAGGACGGACCCGAAACGGGATATTGGGATTGGGTGACTGAGATCTTCAAGGGGAACCAGCTCGTGGCTGCCAGGAACCTGGAGACAGCACGGGGCCGGTACAACCAGAGTGGGGGTGAGTGGGCGGAGCCAGGGCTGGGATGGGATCAATGGGGCTGGGATGG